CCTATAAAGCCCTTAATGGCTTGGGTCCTGGTTACCTAAAGGAGCGCTTACGTCTATATGTGCCCACCCACCCCTTGAGATCAGCGGGAGAGGCCCTTCTCCGGGAGCCCTCCGTGAAGGATATTAGGAGAGTAGGTACTCGGAGGAGGGCTTTCTCTGCGGGGGCGCCCAATCTATGGAATGCGCTCCCCAGAGAGGTCCGCCTGGCGCCATCGTTATTTGTTTTTCAAATATTTGTTATTTGTTTATTCTCTAATCTCTAATTGTATTAATTGTTATTTATAGGTTTTAATTATTAATTATGCTGTGAGCCGCCCCGAGGCTTTGTTGCGATGGGGGTGGCATAGAAATGTTTTAAATAAATAAATTGCGTTATGGAGAGGGAGAAGGAACACGAACCAAGCAAAGCAGCCAAGGCCATGGCAACCACTGTGCTGAATCAGACTAAAGATCCTTCTAGTGCCATGTTCTTTTTCACATAAGGGACAACCAACTGCCTAAAGAAACCCACAAGCAGGACATGACAGCAACAGCCTTCTCCCGTGGTTGTTTACCAGAGGCAAAAAGGTGACCCTTTTTGCAAATTGGGAAAAAGAGAAGAAAATTGTGCTGATCCGCACATGCTAATCCACACATACCAATGTATTTTTACAAAATACAAAAAATACAAATCTTATTTTTAAATAAAAATCTTGAGGGAGACTGTGAGCAGGTGCCCCTGATGGGTAACTTCAAGACCCAGCTCTGCCTTCTGATGCTTCTTTAATTTTAAGTTGGTCCTAGACAGTGCTTTGTAAAAGTGGACACATAGCAAAGTGATTGCCTCTGACCCCAGAGGTGGTGCACAGGCTTCATGGCTAATAGCTGGAGAAGAGCTGCAACTTATTGCTGCAGTAGATGCCTTGCATACAGAAGGTGGATTCCAATGTGGCCATCTCCATGTAAGAGGATTAGGTACCTAGTCATAGAAAATACCTTACTCAGTGTGAGGCTCTGGAGAACTGCAGTCAGTCAGAGCAGACGGGCACTGGGCTAGGTGGACAAAAACCTGGCCTGGAAGAAGGACTTTCCCAATGTACCTGTGAATGTCTGCCAAGCAAATCAAATCTTATTAACTTACCAGCAACAAGCATTCCAGGTTTGCTGCCAGGTATGTGAGCTATAGAGACCGGGCAGGATGGAGATGGCAGGCCCAGTCCTGTGTCAATCTGTCTTCACGTTAGGCCAATATCACAAGAGTTCTTTGTCTTCCCATATCCCGCTTTCCCCATTCTGCCCTGCCCTATGTGGACAGATACTTCTTAATGTGCTGGAAAAATACTGCAGCCCACTCTGCAAAATACATAAATAAAGGGAGGGGGACAGAAAGAAAAAGGTTTATTTAACTAGATCTCCTGTTAATATTCCTCCTGCCCTTGCTTCTTGGGTACGGTTTAATAACATCTGCTGTCTGCACATAATCAAGATGAAAAGCTTTCATCACAATGTAAAAATATCAACCAATTCCAGTGTGCTATTTCAGCCAGTCATTTGGAATTCATCCCCTCAGCCTTTGCATTTAAAGGCATCAATTCCATATTTTTCTGCATTGGTTTTGGTACAAAATGTATAATATTCTACATTCAGAAGAAAGATAAATGATGCCTATCTTTGTGTTCTCAAAACAAAAACAAACCCATTGCAAATCTTCTCATTTCTTTCTAGCACAAGGATAATTTTTTTTCTCCTTGTAGCAGCTCTTTGCTATGGTTTTGGTTTTTCCATAGATCTTGTGCAGAAGTTCAGTTTGCGCATAACAGAGAAGTTGTTCAACCAACACGCACACTCAGGGTAATATAGCTATAGATATTTATAACTTTCTGCACTGGGTTGTTTATACAATGGTGCCCTGTTTCTTCTACCAAAGCAACTTGGTTAAGCTGTACAGAAAGAGATGGGTGATTCCCATCTTCCCTCCACCCCAGCTAAAACATTACATTAGAACATGATTTACATTTGAAAAATAAATATTTAAAAGCGAATACAGCAGAAATTGAAACAAAGAACTACACTTTCACACACTCATGAATCAATTAGTCTGGGATCCCTTGCATGCAGATGTTGTCTCCCTCAGAACCTTTTAATATTTTACTCTTGCCGACATTAGTTTTTAAATACCCCATAAAAACCTATAAACTATGCCATCGCCTATTGTCTACTCAGCAGATCAGGAAACAACTAAGTCAACAGAATCTGGAGAGTGCGGGGTGGGTTGCAGGCTTTCCTTTGCTATATCACAGTCATTTGATGAACTTACATGGACATTATGTTACATGTTTGTCCCTGTTGATTGTTTGATACATATGATATTTAAGGTTCTCCTTTCTTTTTTCTCAATGCAGTACAAGTTCTGATTTTGCTAAATAAAAATGCATAGAAAGACAGCCAAAGAGCAGTTAAATCAATATGCAAGGCTGGTGAGCTGTGTGTTGTCCTTAGATGTATTGACTATTATTAAGCAAATGAGAGAAACTGGTTCATTTTTCCATTTGAAAAGATCTATTCACCTTGGTGGCCATAACATAGGGTAAAACCTTAATTGAAAATGGTTAAATCAGAATGGGTAAAACATAAAAACAGCTGCTTTTATTTAGTCATTTAATTTTAAATGGGAGGGGGAGGTCCTATATTTCCCACCTTTGACTAAGTCCCATGGTAGGATCACAAAACAGCTTATTTGCTCCCATAAAGGAATTCCCACTGAAAAGATATTGAATGTGTAAGCTTGAAAACAAAGAAGCTAAAGCAGCCTTCCTCAATGGGGGACATTCCAAATGTGTTGGACCATGCTGACTGGGATTGATGGGGGTTGTAGTCCAAGGAAGGGGAAGGCTGATCTATTGTATACAAGTAAACCAGATCAACTTCAGTGCGCAGTGACAGCAAACGCTCCATTAAATTGCTTTAATTATGAACCACTTTGGTTCATACATACATGATGCACAGTCTGCTTTTCTTGACTGTGGCAAGAGACATAATCACAAGGATAGATGAGCAATGAGCAGTGGCAGTAGTTGAAAGGAGTCCAGATGGCTTGTGTTTGCATTAGTCCCTCTTCACCAGGTTAAAGAGACTTGCTACAGCTTGTCTTCTTGCTGGCTTAGGTCAGCCACCTGCCCCATGGTTGCAACTGTAAGGACTGCCCCTGCTGTTGTTGTCCAAAGTAGTTTTCAAGAACCAGAATATGTGCTGAGGTAAGAACTACATATAAAATCCTGGCCATCTAGATAAACAATTGGCTTTCCGTTTTCTTAGAAGCAGAGAGTTATGGGTTTAATAAAACACCTCCTGGAAGTATAAGTCAGGAACTTGTCATGATTTCATTGTGGAGTCATAGGGACAGGTCACAGTGATGGAGGAGAACTTTGCCTCTGTTGAGGACTCATCAATGAAGAATCATCTCACCCGCCCACCCTTTCCCCCCTTTCTCAGTCTTTAATGCATTTGGTTTGCTTTTCTTGGTATTTTTAGGTTGTTTTTGTCTTTAAACATGTCATTGTTTACCACGATGACAGCCTTCTCTGGAAGGAAACAGAAATGTTAACTAAGATAAATAAATCAAAAATACAATGGCCTCATGATTCTTCCTAGTACAGCCTTATCTTATTATACTGGGAGGATGATTTTCAAGGAAGAGCACTACAAGTTCAATATGTAAGTAAGCAACTTTGTGAAAAGAAGGGGGAAGGTACCACCCTTCAGAGGCACGAAAATGCAAAGTACCATGGGCCTCTTTAGTGCAATTTACTGGGGAACAAATGTGCAACCCTCAAGGAACCACTTCCTTTTCAGGGGTACATCAGAGAGCCTTGTCAAGAGTGGCCACTTAAAACAGAATTAAAAAAGAGGAAAAAAGGAGAGAAAGAATGATAACTTTGCAAACATATGGTCAAGCTGCCTCTGACTTATGGCAACCCTGTGAATTAATGTCCTCCAAAACGTCCTGTCCTTGACAGTTCTGCACAGCTTTTGTCAAGTCAAGGTTGTGGCTTCCTTTATGGAATTGAAATATCTCATATGAGATCCTCCTCTTCCAGCTTCAATTTTCTCTGGCGTGGTTGTCATCTTCAGGAAGTCCTGTCTTTTCATGATGTGCCCAAAGTATGATGGCCCTTATGACCCTTTATCTTTCTTTATATCTGACTTGGACTGGACAGTCCTTCAAACAGAGGACCAACTTCTGACACTCCTTCAGATAAACCCTCCACTGCAAAGTTGGAAACTTGGCCACCCTACACAACACCCCAAGTTCTCTTCTTTACCCCCATTGCTATTTGGTCACCCTAAGGGGAACAATATATTAATCACATGAATGAGATATTTTGGAAAATGAAATGACAGTAACTCTTAAAGCTAAAGAATCATAAGATAAAATACGAAGTGAGGGGATTATGCTTAAACTGACTAATTATGAAAGAGGAGAAGGAGAAAGACAAAACCAGAATAAATTCTTGTTAGTCTGGAAAACTTTTATTGTGTAGTGGTGGTGGAAGCCACCTGTTTCTAATGATGTTACTCATTAATATTTGTTGTTATCACAGAAAAGTATATTTTGAATTAAGGCAGGTGTAGAATGCATTATTGTTGTGTATTCTAAAATAATAAACTTAACATAAATCAAGATGTGCAAATAAACTATTATAAAACTCTGCACAATGGAGCTAACATTTTCAAACTATAAAATTATGCGCACAATATAATTTGCAATCTCTTTTATTCGTGTCCGGATGCATTCTTGTATTGTTGAACATATCAAGGTGTAAGACTTGACTCCTTTCATTCCCCACGAAACGTGCAAATATTAGCACTACTACTCCCATAATTCATTGTGCACTGAGGGAAGAAAAGTTTTCTCACAAAGCATGCTGGGAATAGTAGTTCCAGCGTTTTCTTGCCCCTTCTCTTCGCATTATGGTTAACTTAGAAACACCTGTCCTTCCTCAGGGAAAGAAAGGAAACTCAGAAATCAGCCCGCTCTGTTCGCCCCTCCTTCTGAGTATGTAAATCGTGCATTTCCTCGTCAAGAACCAGGCAAGCAGGAACTTAAGGGCGAAGCGTGGGGCAGCTTCCAAGGTAAGAAGCTTTTGGAGGCGTTATATAATGAGGCTTGCATTGCAGGGCTTTTGGCTAGAAGCCTATTTCTGTGCTGTTCGCTCAATGGGATGCAATACAAATGATTTATTTTGAAGGGTGCGGGGAGGGGAGATGCCGTCTTTTTGATGGGAACACGTGGAAGAGGGGCATCCTGCGTCCAGTAGCTGGAAGAGAGGGGAAGGGGGAGAAAGAGCAGGGGTTTTCACTTCTGAATTAATAAATGGACTGATCCAAACTGATACTGTTCTTTGCAGCATTTTGCCCCGGAGAGTGAATTAAGCTGAGTTACTACTGTAGGCTTTGGAGCTCTTCTCCTCCGTCTAATTGATTTTGCTTCCTTGTGGTTGATTTGCTATGCTCAAAGGTCTTGTGAGACTAGGGTGCTGCGGTGGTGAGAGTATTGGACAGAGACTTGGGAGAGCTCCTTGACCTTGAAGCTCACAGGGTGAGGTTGGGTGGGCCACTGACTCTTAACTTCATCTACCTCATGAAGGATAAAATAGGGAGAAAGAAAGCTGCCTCGAGTTTTTTGCAGAAAAAAAAGTTGAAAATAAATCTAATATATTAAGTAAATAGATTAAACTGACAAGAGCCATTGTGGGTTAGGATCCAGATTCTAGCCTCCAGTCATCCATGAAGCTGCCTAGGTGACTGTGGACCAGTTACTGGGTGCGTTCACACGTAATGCCAATGCACGGCATGCCATGCATCTCAATTTGCGTCCTGGGTTCAGACAGATGCTTGGTGTCCATCCACTCATGGTTTCCATTCTTCTCCATCTTCCCTCCAAACGGTGGCTGAGCCCCTGTGGCTCGGAATCAATCCCAGCATGGAGTGACTGCCTCTCCTTGGCTCACAGGCTTTCCTGGGTGCGGCCTCAGCCAGCTGCCTCCTTTTCCCGCCTGCTGCTCGGGGAAGCAGTTGCCAACTCAACGAAGTAGCATTGTTGATCTAGAGTAGCACGACAGGAGCACTGCCCTGCCCGGTGCCAGAATGCAAGCACACCCACCCACACATCCAGCATTCCCTCCTCCTCTGCTGGACATGTGTCCATGCCCCCCCCCCCCCGCAAACACACACACACACACACCATGCAGGAATTGCTCATTCTCCCTGGAGTCTCCTCCACCTGCATCCAGGTGTCAGCCTGAGCACAGAGGATGCGTGGACTGCCAGGCAGACTTTCCCAGGAGTGCCTCTCTGGGTATTTGCTTAGGAAGGTTTGCTGGCAGATTGTTCCGACAACCTTTGTCTTGCAGCAGGGCTTGTTGGCAGTTGCTGGGAGTGTCGGGGTGAGATGGGAATGGCAGGGAGGGTGGGAGACGCGGGCTTCTCATGGCCATTGCCCCAGTGGCCATGCCGGTGCACAGCCCATGTAGTGCTCCTGCATCAGGGTGCCTTCACATGAGGAGGCCACTGGTTCCCATAGTGGTGTGAGCATTCCTGTCTTTCTAGATGCTGCTCCAGCCACGTGCAGTGATTGGAGTGCCAAGCACGGCTGTCTCTGCCATGCCCTGCTGCTGCTGAGATTCCAAAGCTGCGGCCACAGACAAAAAAAAGAGTGCAAAGCAGCTAGTCAAACTGTGGCAGCTGTGACACACCCATTGCTCGGAAGAACAGGACAGTGGAAAATGCAGGCTGGAACATCTGCTGCAGTTGTGGTCACTCTTGCTGTGCAGCTTTATGGTTGAAATGCAGAAGTCATGCAGAAACATGGCAAGTGAGTTTAGACAGGCAAAAAGCCAAGGTGAAGCACAGAAACCTTACAAGAAGCCATTGTTTCTCTTTGTGGATCCACAGAGACCAAACGTACCATGTTTCACCATGGATGCTAGTTCAGATGCGGCTTCCACTGTGGCTTGTCATTACATGTGAACCACCCACTAATTCCCAGCCTAGCTACCTCACAGGGTTGTTGTGAGGATAGAATGGAGAACTATATACGCCACCTTGGCTTCCTTCTAAGAAGAAAAAAGGGAGGATATAAATGTCATAATTACTATATTGTGATAGCAAGTTGGGTGTTCCTAATTGGGTGCAGTAATGTTGATATGTTGTGTCTCTGCTTGCATGTAAAATTGTAATCCAGGGAGAAGTGCTTCATCCCAGCAAGCCCACAGCACAGCCTGCATGGCCTGCATTTGTCCAAGGCGCCTATATGGACTGATGGAGGGGCACATGGGCTTAGGGAGCACACCCGTCTCAACTTGCTCATGCTTTGAAAGGAGAGCCTGTTGGTCAAGCTCTCTGAAACGGCTCAGTTTTTATTGGTACTTAAGAGCTGTAATTGATAAGATTAAGGCCTCTCTAGTCGAGCGTTCTGTCCTTACAGTGCCCAGGCAGGTGCTATGACGAGCCCACGATTAGGACATGTGTACAACAATACTCTCCTTGAGGTAGTTGCTGTATTTGTGTTGGTGTTTCACCACTGTTCCCTCCAACAGGAAGCTGAAGGGGCCCAGGTAGTTTCCTTATACGTTTGTTCCATCTACACAGACAAGCAATCGCTGTCCTGGGTTTCAGCAGAATCCTTTCCAACCCCAGTTGAAGATGCTGGAGATTGAACTCTTCTTCTGTTATGTTCTGCATATGGGTGCTAATGAGCAAGTGTGATGTTGGGTGTGTGTCCTTGAACATCTGTATACATAAATGCACGCGCAAGGGTGGTGCTAGGTACCCCATCGGTCCAGAGTTCAAGTTCACAGGACCCCCTCCCAAAACGCACACAAGTGCATATTTTACTTTCACAGTCTCCTTCTCTTTCCCACTTTCCCTGCATGTCTTTAGCACAAAATGACCTTTTCTCCTAAGGCCATCCCTGCTTGTAGCCAAAGGAGGTATGGATACAGTAGAGGAAGGCACTTGATTTCAAGGGGGGGAAAAGGCAGAGAGATTCAATGGGGAGGGGACGGCAGGATGTGAAACACATGGGGCGAAGAGCCAGTCAGGGGGATCAGATATACCAGAGATCACCAGGGCTCTGTACCTTTATTTCAGGAAACATGCAGTACAGATAAGCAGAATGGTGGGGTGGAACATCTCCCAGAGATTTGGGGTGTGCCCCCCAAGAGCCCTGCTTGTCTGACACTTCCCTGGTGCCTTTAAAAATGCTTTCAAGAAACCAGTTTTGCATATTTTAGCTGTCTGTATGTACCAAGCTAGCATGTCCAGTTAACCTCACTGGAAAAGTATAGTAGGGTTAGCACATGTGGAAGCTGAAAAGGGGATTGGGCTCCGATGACCTGATAGGCCCCTTCCAGCTCCTATTCTAAACAGCTGCTTCCCATTCTGGTGCCCTCCAGATGTGTTAGGATACAATATCCATTATCCCCAGTTAGCATGAGCAGGTTGAGAAAGGCTACTTGCTCAGAAAATACTGATGTGGCTGGTGAACACAATTACTGTGTAAATTGTCAGCAGCTGCCTGGGACAGACTGGGAGAAGTGGGACTTAACATGCATAGGATAGTACCCAGAAAGGTCCTGGTGTTTTCTTGAGAATCTTGCTAAGCACCGGAGGAAGGTGGAAGAAACTTTTTCCAGAATAAGCTAATAGATGAGAAAACAGCTTGGCTGGTATTGTGAACTCATCCGTGTGCCCTTGGGGCTGGCAAAATTATGGAAGAAGCAGGAACGTACAGGCTTGTGGGATGCTTAAAAGGCTCTGGAGTGGGAACAAAACAGGATGAAAAGGAGGACTCTATGGAACTAGTAGCTCATAAAGTTGCCACCCACCCTCCCAGGCAGCAGGGCTCCCATGCTTTTAACTGTTGCCCAACAAGCCAGCAGAAACTTAGTCAAGGAGATTTTCTTGTCAATCCACCTCCCTGTCAGCTGCCTGTAAGGCAGCTTTTAAAAGGGAAGAGCTGAGCTACAGGGAAGATTATAAATAGCACTGCAACTTTAGAGGCATCTCCCAATATTAGTGAATGGTTGATCCATCAGTTTTGCGTTCTTGTGCAAATCGTTCATCATGCTCCTATTCAAAGACAATAGCATGATATGAATGTGCTTGATGGGAGAACAAGTGGGAGGGTATTCAGCCCTTTTTGAAGGCAAACCAGTGAAGAGGGAAAATGCATTGCCTTCAAATGAACCAAATTAGAGATGAACATTGGTTATATTAATATAAGAGGGAATAGAGTGGTATTAACACCAGAGCTACTTCTCTTTAAGTGATATTAGAGGTTGTGTATGAACAACACTAGATTTTACAGAAAACTCAGAAGTAAGTCTCATGGCATTCACTGGGATTTATGCTCAAGAAAGTATATGTACAGGATTGCTGTTTTGGTAACTAATGTTTTAAGAAAAAAAATGGTTGCAAAAATTTACCTAGAAAAGTAGCATAGGCTTTGATTAGAGTTGCCTGCAGAAGGATTGGATCATTATGTTACGGGATAATGCACCAGTATTTTTCAACATAATGTAATACAGTTCAGAAATGTGTGGAAGACTAGAAGTTGTTTATTACTTTCATTGAACAAGGAATATACAAAAGAGGCTGATTGCAGGCAGCAAACTTGGGATGTTACAGGGATTTGTCTACTGAAAAGGCTAATCTTTAAGGAAATAATTCAAAATAAATTTAGTTCATGTATGTAACATCTTTTCTTGAGATATGGTTGCTTTCTTTAAAATAATGAATCAGTGGAAATGTTCATTTCACAAAATAGTAGGGCATTTGGGGAATCACTTTGCTTCTGTTTGCCAAACATAGGAGTGTCATATGGTACAAGAATGTTAAGCCTGTAAAAGAAAAAGTGACTTTGAAAAACAAATTAAGGATGCAATCCTATGTGTGCTTAGACAGAAGGAAGTCCTGCAACTCTTGGCATGCTGGAAGTATGGAGACTTTATTCTGTCTAAAAATGCAGAGGAAGTCAGAAATTTTAAAGTCAGAAAAAGGCATGTGCATGATGGGAAGGCGGGGGTTGGCTGTCCTTTTCACCATTCATGTCACAATTGGTTCTGTGGCAC